TCGATCGTTTCGCTAAGCATCCGCTGACATGTCTCACTCATCCTTCCTACAAGCATTTAGGCAAATATATGCACCACATGACAGGATTACACATACTTGGGAGCATCTCAATGAGCTGCAGAAGAAAATCCTTCTCAGCAACGCATCCTTCCTTGGATTTCGTAACTGTCTCAATGTCGTTTTGCAAATTCACCACAGTATGTTGGAGCTGCGCCACTTTCTCGTTATTTTGCTATAGCTTTAACCATAAGACTAGAACGAAATGGTATCAGAAAAAATTACCTGAAAATCAAGCGCATTTTGTCTTTTCAACTCTGAGTACTGTTCATTTAGCTTTTCCGCATTCTGAAGACAGACTTCAAGCTGTCGTTTAGTTTCGGCATGCTCCGTTTGAAGAAAATTGAATTTCGTTGTTGAATCCTAAAACAAAGCATTCAAACAATCGGAAAAAGTTTAAAGAATTAGATAAAGATACAGAACTTCTCATTTTTGATAGTTATAATAGATAATTTCACGCCAATATCTCTAAACTGATAGACGTGTAAATATGAGTCAAATCAGTATGAACTTAAAGATGCTACAGCACAATTCTTCTGTTCCGAAATACGTATAGAAGCGGGGCTTTTTAACCAGGCCACCTCCTCAGCATTTGTTCAGGTGCGGTGCATAGATACACCTCGCACCAGTGTTAGTCGTGATACTCGGATTAGTCATGCTGCGGCGGTAAAAATTTGTTGTGATACGCATGTTAAACATAGATTCAAATGGAGATAGACATCTGCCAAAAATAAAAGCTGAAACTTGCCACCACGCAAGGACGCGCTGATTTAATGAACTCGCACAGTCATAACAACGGAATTGTAAAATAAAACTAAAATCTTCGATTGATGTGTAAAATGGGGGTTGGATAAAACAGTTCATGCAAATGGCCAATGACCAATTATACAGATTCAAACTAGAGCATACAAGACTGAGGGCCGACAGCGACCATCGAACTACACCGAAAAAGCTTGGCAAAAACGATAAAATACAAAACGGCGATGTCGAAACGTCATAGACCGAGTGTTAAAATTTAGCTTTCAACAGCATAACAAACTGCATAATAATGAACTTCAAATGAAGTTGTACATGAGCTACATTAAAAGTCAGTTTTACGAAAAAAAACATTACGAAATTATTTCTAACAAAAGTTCTAACAAATTTTATGTTGTACTGCACAATATCTAAGAGCAACAATTTTCTACGCTAGATATAAAAAATTACCATGTAATTACCGAAAGTGCTACATAGGATAAACCGGGATATCGTCACGTACCCAAAAATGATCCATCTGTCAAACTGGAAAAAACAGATGATTGCGAACGAAGGTGAGAAACACATTTAAACGAAGGTTCATAAAAGAAAAAAAAACAAGTCCCGCGCCGAAGGAAAGAACTTCAGTTCACCGGCATGATTAACGAAAGAAACTGACTGAAAAAGTGCGTCAGTGAGACATTAACTATATAATTCTACGACAACGTTAACACTAACAAAGGACAAGAACAATGCACGGGCTGAATGAGCGTAGCCACGCCTGTCACTGAGAAACTATTGGAAACAAGGTGGACGGAGAACTTGTCTTTTGGCTGAAAACGAGCCCGCTGTTGCAACTGACTTCTACAGTAACTGAAAACTACTACATCTCTTACCTTGAAGAAAGTCCGTGAAATAAGGTCTGAAAAGACGGTAGTCATCTAT